TAATCAAAGGACATGATATACACTGATCACAATGAAACCATTACTCAGTACAATTAATATATGCTAAGAAGAAGGGGGGGAAGCATGTTGCCATGAACCTAACAACCATAAAGAAATGAATTCTGCCAAACCTAAGAGAATTTGGATACATATTCTCCTAAGCTGAGTCTCTAGACCTGGTCACCACTTTGATTCAAATTTTGCAGAGCACCCATTAAGCTGTGCCCAGACTTCTGACCCACAGATACTAACAAACAAATGCATATTCCTTTAAGCAGCTAAATTTGCAATACTTTGTTAATGAGCGGCATAGAAAATAAACTTAGAAGTTTAAAAGTTTTCTAAACGCCAAACCTTCTGCTGACACAAAGTACTATGCTTTCTCCAATTTCTAAACACATCGATGCCAAATAATTCAAAAACTACAAAATGTAAACAGTTCAATTTTTTTAAATGCTTTAGGAATATTTGTGTAAGTAAACCTTAGAAAATACTTTGCCTCACAAAGCAGTTCCTACATTTTTTTGTTTAAATTTATTGTTTTAAGATTTATTTTATTTTTAATCATGTGTATAAGCATGTGTATGTGAGTGTCGGTGCCCAAGGAGGCCAAAGGCATCACATCCCCTAGAGTTAGAGGCCGTTGTGAGTTCCCTGATGTGGGTGCTGGGAAACGAACTCTGGTCCTCTGGAAGAGCAGCACATGCTCTTAAGCACTGGGCCATTTCTCTAGCCTCTACACTTCTCTTTTGACCCATTTACCAACATACCTAATTATATGGACAGCCAGTGAATGTAGTAAGTATACCAATAAGGCAATTCTCCATATAATATGTACAAGACAAATAAGAAATAAAAAGAAAGTGGACAGCCAGAAACAAGAACCTACTTACTGGTCACCAGGTAAAGCAACCAAGTGGAGGGGAGCAGGGGACTTGCTGGAAACACTATTAGTAACACAGCAGAACTCTCAATCAATACAGGCTGCAAAGCATCCAAGTTCCAGGTCATGCAACACTCAGATAGGACAGTGGCCTGTGCAACTCACCCCACTTCCCCCTCCATCAGTCAAGGTTACTTCCAGACAATTCCCAAAGTAGGAACTTCCACAATAGACACCACACTTGAGCATGCAACATAAGGTATCTTCTGCAGTCTTTAAAGACAGGTGAGATTGCTGGGCATGGTGGCTCACACCTTTGATCCCATCACTCGGGAGGCAGAGGCAGGCTGATCTTTGTTGAGTTCGAGGCCAGTCTGGTCTCCATAGAGAATCCATGCCAGCTGCAGCTACTAACCATCAACCTTCCTCTACAGGGGTAGCAGAAGTGGTGGTTAGAAGAATCCTTTTCCTTAAGCAGCAAGTATTCCTGTTCTGCCCCTCCCCAAGAAAATCTTAACTGAATAAAGGAGCATCCAAGAAGAGAGAACAGATTAATTACAATATCTCAAATTCAAACATTTTGGCACCTACTATTGTTAAGAAGTAATGACTGAGAACAACTTAATAATGGCTAATTAATGGAGATAATCTCTATATAAAACCTAACATATGTTGAAAATTAAGTTGAATAAAACTTCCTAGGAATACAAATCTTATTTAACACGCAATTTTAAAAGCTAGCCCAAGCTTCTTCAATGTAAATAAACAGGCTTCTAACAGGAGGTACTAGAATTACAGGCTACAGAAGTAATCAGCAGCAAGCCACACCCAAACAAGCTTAAGACAATTAAGCAGCATGGAACAAATTCATTGTCTTAAATTAATTCACTTTACAATTTCACTACCAGACTCATGGATACATTACTGAAGGCCATATAACTTCTCTAGAAATAATCTCCATTTGTTGAGGTATTTTTATAGTCTAATTCACCTCCATTCAGTGCTCGCTCTGTCAGTGAAGACTATTTTACCACTCCCATCCATTGCTTTTAGCAAGCAACAACTTAGTGGGAAAATGCAACCATAATATAAAACCAAACAAATCTTAAGATACTACATCAAGGCTTTCAAAAACTGTTAGACGATACCTTTAAAGGCCAGTTTTAAAACAAATGGAATTATGATATGGCAGTCAAAAAAGAACTACTGTTTCACTCTAGTGTTCAACTCACCAGTCCAGACAGAATAACAGAAAAAAGCCAGCCTCACTTGACCTGAAACTCCTCCTTACAGATTCTAATCATACTCAGGTCCATGAGAACGTGAGTCTAAGAAATGTCTGCTAATTGAAATATATGCATTAATTCACCTCTCTTCTGGTTATTTAATTCTTCTCTAGAGGGAAGAATGTATGCAGCCAAAATATACATTCCGAAGAAAGCAAAGTATAAAAGTCAATGCAGAGCCTTCTCATTCAATTTGGCAATCCACTAACTCACAAATGTATTTGCTAGACTCCTAAGATAAAAACAATTTAAAAGCTGGTTGTGGTGGCACATGCCTTTAATCCCACCACGGGGAGGCAGAGGCAGGCAGATTTCTAAGATCAAGGCCAGCCTGGAACAAAGCAAGTTCCAAATCAGTTAGGCCTACAGAAAATAGTTTTAAGTTTTCATTTTCAATAAATTACATGAGTCTACAAAGGAAAGGTTATTTTCAATCTTTGCAGAACCATATTTTTTAACTAGGAAAACATTAGTTTATATAATTACAGTAAGAACTTTCTGTTAATTTTGAAATATTCCTTTTCTCAATTTCCAGGTGGAGTTTTATATACACCCTAACAATAACCCAATGAACATATATATGCCCAATTTGTAACAACTGAAAGTGAATAAACACATTGGTATAAACTAAAAATAAAGTCAACATGAAAAATAAGTCTAAGTTTTAAAATAATGAGACATGATCTGGCTTCTCCATCCCAGAATAATTAGAAACATACTTTTATTTGCTTTCCTTGTGAACCCAGCCACTGAAATACAGGTAAAAGCCACAGTAGATAACACCACTAAAGATAGCTTTACTATCCACCTCTGAATGGCAACTAGGATTTAAGGCCACAACAACTCCATCTCACCTCATAATACAGGTAAATTTTCTGATCCCCTCCCAACTTTGGTCAATTGAGGTTTCTCCCATAAATCATGAAAACAGAAAAAGAACTGTTTACTCCAATGTCCAAAGAATGGTACATATCTAGAATGGGAATGGTTCTATGTGAACTGGAGGAGAGAACTCAAGTCATAACACACAACAGATGCCTTGGGACAGATGTTTAATCTCTCCAGAGATCTGAATGAGATGCCACCACAGGTTTCTGTATGTCACTGTCCTGCTATCAGACTCTAGCCTTCCTAACCCACCCAGACTGAAAAAACTATATACTAAAATGTACAAATCTAAGAATTAGGTTTACAAAAAAAAATAATGCTTGATTTCCAACGTTTCCACTTTCCCACTAAGGAATAACATAGTTATCAACAAAGTTTACTTCCACAAAATAAAGTCACACAAATATACTGACTCTGTCAGAGAATTTTCAGCCCTTTAAAAACTGAACCAAAGTAGTAATCACTATAACTATTAACCTGCCAAAGCTTTTCCTATTAAACAAAAAAGACAATAAAACAAAAAAACAAAAAACAAGGCAACTAAAACTAGTTTATTCTTGCATTAATCTCCAATTCTTAGGAAACTACAGTGCCTTCAACTGTGATTCAAATCATAGTAAGGTCAACACTAGTTCTTTTCCTCAAAAACAAAATATTTTTTTAATGCCCCAATGTTAGGAAGTCATTAAAGTAAGGTGGCAAGCCAGGTGTTTAACTCAATGGCAGAGAACTTGCCTAGTATGCTTGATAACTTGGTCTGGATTCTCAGAACCTCAAAAACAAACTAAATAAACAAAACAAACAAAAAAAATAACCCAAATACATAATAAAGGTAGCTAGCTAAAGTTGTGCCGTTCATATCAAATGCGCAAAGTAGCATTAAGATGGTAAAATCTAAACACGACATGCTTATTAACATGCTTGTCTGAATGCTTTAGAACACTTTTAGAAACTGCACTTTACCCAAAGTATTTACATTTACAAACACACGAGTTAAATGGTCCTGAAAACAGATGGGGTGTTTACACCGTTCTGTGCTCAGATGTGAATTCAGAACACCAGATACATAACTGTTACGATATGAGAATGTTTACAGACTGTACTTTTCATAGAAGTTTTCATAGAGGTAGTTTTGATTCAGCATAAAACATAAAGAGGTCGAGGTTATGTTTTCTTCAGATCAAGTGCACCCTTCTGTTTCTACACAAAAGCACATCATTGGCTACTAAAAATTTCCATTTTCTTTTACAGAGATTTTTTTCTGAACTCTAGTCACACCGCTCTTTCCAACAGACTCTGGGCTGATTACGGTCTCTGTAGACAAGAGTTGTGGCAATTTTACTCTCTTTAAATAACTGTTTTTGAATATTTCAATGATCTACTTCAAACTAAGCACTACTAACATTAAACCTATGTAAAGTAGGAGTTCACCGGAGTTAAAACACACTTTGCATTAACACGTGTACCCAAATTACAATGTACGCTATCAAGTGACGCTATTTCCAGAGACTTAAGGATTACAGCTTTATGTTAAGAGTCTGTCCAAAGGAGCTACGGTAATTTCAAATACTCAAATGGTCACTTAGGACTGTCGGCCTTTAAAACTGCTCGCCACACAGCTGCCAAACAACTGCACTCAGTGACCGCGTCCTCCAACTTCCTGGTACTAAAAGCTACAACCACGAGGGCTGTTTCGTCAGTTTGTTTTAAAACAATACTTGCTCCATTCACCTCATCGCAAGCAAAAGGAAAGGCCAGTGCCTGCAGGGGAGCGGCCGCACAGGGCAGGGGGATCTCGCGAAGTGGGATAGGGAAGGGGCGGCAGCGGCACAGCAGGGGCCCTGGGCTCGGGGCGCCAGCGGGAGGGGCAAAGCTGAGCTGCGGCCGCGATGCACTTGCGGCCTGTGCAGGCGGAGGCCGGCGGCGCGGGGAGGGGGCCGTACCTCCGAACATGTGCGGCGAGAGGTGAGCCGGGAGCGAGCCGATCACCAGGCGCGGCCCGGCAGGGCCCCCGCCCGGAGGCTGATCCCTGCTGCTGCTGCTGCTGCTGCCGCCGCCACCGCCGTCCTCCGGGCTGCTGTGCACCGAGTCCTGCGAGCCGTACGGGCCGCTGCTGCTGGGGATGCTGAAGGACGCCTGCGCGGCGCGGCCGTCCGACGCCACGCTGCCCACGGCCCCGCCGAGGGAGCGGCTGCGGGGCGCCGG